GTGTGTGTGTGTGTGTGTGTGTGTGTGTGTGTGTGTGTGTTGAGAGATGCGCATTGCAACATGAGCAAGAAAAAACACAATTTCCTCACCAACAAAAGTCTTAGCCATTTAGCAATATATGTTGTATTGAAAGATTTTATAGTGACAGGAATATTCAACTATATGCCAAAACACTTTTGAGTTTTTATTAATTGGAACTTTGTTGATTTATTTTTGCCCCGTTGTAGGAATCCATTGTGGATGAGCAGGAGAACCAGAAAGATGAGAACATCCATCTCAGACGGTTCCTCAGGGTCCTGGCAAACTTTCTGATCACGTGCAGTTTGGGAGGAAGCGGATACCTCATCTACTTTGTGGTGAAGCGTTCTCAGGACTTTGCTAAAATGGAGAAGGAAAATCTTTCGTGGTTGGAAAAGAACGAGGCAGGTTGACCTTAGATATGTGGTTGACCTTTAACCTTCATGATGATTTTACGGATTGTCCTTTTGTAAATGACACAAAGAGCTGAAATTGTTGAGGCTTGGAATATGAGATAAGTAACCCCCATCTCTCGTGTAATATATCAGGTGGAGTTTGTGATGTCTCTGCTGGGGCTGGTGTGTCCTCCTCTGTTTGAAACCATCGCAGAATTGGAAGATTATCACCCTCGTATTGCCCTCAAGTGGCAGCTGGGACGAATCTTTGCCCTCTTTCTGGGAAACCTTTACACCTTCCTCTTCGCCCTGTTTGATGAGGTTAATGAAAAGGTGTGACAGATTTGCCTTATCACAATTTGATATGTTGTTTTCTTCTTTGTAAGTGTAAAAATGCAATTTGCCATCTTAGGGACAGTTTTTGTTGGACCACATTTTTTTAAGCTTCAAGGAATTATGAGAGTGGTATTGATCTTGAACTCTCCAAAAAGTTATTCCTGAAATATGCAACTATTTCTCTGAATCCAGCAAACTGTGTATCTCTGTGTGTGAATTGTGTGAATTGGTGCCTTTATGCTTTAATGCGTTTTCTATTCTTCAGTTGGAGACAGAGAAGTCCATCAAGAATGCCACTGATTGGGCTTTTGAGCAATACTACACCAACTACAGCTCCCATTACAACACCACAGATGTGCCTCCTCCAAATGTGCACCCAGCGGACGTCATCAGAGGACCCTGCTGGGAGGATGCAGTGGGAATAGTCAGTAGTTGGTTTATATTTTATATTTTGGTCGAATGGTTAATGAGAAATTAGAGAGTGCTAATACAGATGCATACAGGAGTAGATGCTGTAGACAGTGAGATTTCTTTTCAGTTGTCAGCATCATTCCTTTTTTCAGACCATCCATTCAATCACACAGTAGAGAACAGTCATCTAATTTTTCTATTGCTGCTTTTCACATTGCTTTCTGATCCTGTGTAGGGATTTGTGAAGCTGATCGTGTCGGACATGCAGGTGACATATTTAACCATCTTGATTGGTGACTTTGCGCGAGCTGTCATTGTCCGCTTTCTTAACTACTGCTGGTGCTGGGACCTGGAGGCTTCCATGCTTTTCCATTACCACCCAAATCTTCTCAAACTTCTTCTCTCGGTTGTGTGTCAGTGTGTACATATGTGACTTTTAATATTTAAATGATTGATACATTTACTTTTTTTTTTTTTTAATCAACAAACATAACTGTTTCTTTGTCTTGTGCTTTATATTAAACACATCGTTTTTCAAAACATATCTGCATTAAAGTGGCTGAATGTTCATTATATGATGGTGAATAAAAACGGTTTTAAGTATTTGTTAATGTATCGCTTCCATGTCATTCAGCTATTATTAAACACTGTTTGAGTACAACACAGTTCGTATTGGATCCTTTTCAACTTGATACCATACAATGACATCTGGCAAGACAGCTGATCCCTAACATTGAGTGACACAGGACACTGCAAAGAGAACTTAAATACAGAGAGAGAAACATTGTCACAGAGAGAGGAGAAACATAACAAGTGTGGCTCTTATTAAGTCATGTGAGCTTTCTAATCATGTTGTTGTGTTGATTCCAGCCTTCATATGGAGAGTTTGACATCAGTGGAAATGTGCTGGGGCTGATCTTCAATCAAGGAATGATATGGTGAATTACCTCACGTCTGCATGCTTGATTTACTATTCTGTCTCTTTCTGTATTATCTAATGGAGCTAATGATTGCGTTTATGTTTTGTCTAAATAATGTTGCTGCTGTTTTCCTAAGGATGGGAGCATTTTACGCTCCAGGCCTGGTGGGTCTGAACGTGTTGCGTCTCCTGTCCTCGATGTACTACCAGTGCTGGGCAGTGATGTGCTGTAACGTTCCTCATGAGCGAGTTTTCAAGGCCTCGCGGTCTAACAACTTCTACATGGGCCTGCTGCTGCTTGTGCTTTTCCTCAGTCTGCTGCCTGTTGTCTACACCATCATGACCGTGTCTCCGTCATTTGATTGCGGGCCTTTCAGGTCAGTGAGCGGTGCAGACAGTGGAATTAAAAAACAACATGATATTGAAATGGATATTAAAAAAGCTGGACTGTTGTGATGCTTCATGATGCATTCTTCTGCAGGTCAAAAGTATTTTAGTCAGTGAATTAACTAAATGCATCTATCCAACACCATTTAAAACCTATGGAGTCTATTTAACCAAGTGCAATGCTTTTTAAATGTTTTATGTATTGGCAGTATGTCTATTGGTCAATTTCAACAACTGTCATAAAATGTCATGGTTCCAAAAGTCTTAGTGTGACAGGGTCATATTGTTCACTTTTTGCTGTACTGTGAAAAGGCTTATGCCATCCCCATCGTCCCCATAAACATCAGCTCTACTTTTTGTTCAATTCAAATAAGCTAATATTAGCATGCAAACTAACACGCTAAACATAGATGGTGTGAATGTTGTGTGCGATGTCCTTAGCATTTAGCTGAAAATAAATTGCCAGCATGTATCAGGTTATGATGATTTAAAGTGGAACATGATGAACCTTTTATGCATTAGTCTACTATTGGCTAGTGAAAAACTATAAATGTTCACTTTGTTGCAGCCCTAGAATTACACTGGTGCAAAAACACAGTTTAGTTTGATTTTCTTTATTTGTAAGGAACAATTCACAACACTCTAAATAATAAGTTTAGAAAGAAAACTTTGTAACATTTGCGACTTGGTTGACTTGGTTTGCTATACCTCAAACCGTGTTCTGTATTTGATCCATGTTTTCCCCTAGTGGCCAGGGGAAAATGTACGACGTGATCATGGAGACTATAGAACAGGATCTGCCACCTTTCTTGGCTAACATTTTTACATATGCCACCAACCCTGGACTCATCCTGCCTGCTGTCCTCCTCATGGCGTAAGTATCTCTCACATATCGACTGAAAAATATTTTGTTGTATCTGCTAAAAAAAAAGGCAAATTGAGGTGTAATGCTATTTCATGTTCTGGATAAGAAAGGGAGATATATAAAGGCGTTGAAAATATTACATTTTATGTTCTGGATTTCAGCTTTTAAAATCTCCCTTAACTACAGAAGTAAATCTGTTATTTGTGTATTTTCATTGCATATTCATAATTCTATAAATCAGATTTGTTTTAATGTTTCCATGTGATTATGACATCCTTCTTAGACAATATTGGCAGTGTGTTGTAGCATGCAATCCTGTGTCCTATTGTTTTTTTTTACACTACCACAGGGGGGCACTAAAGTCCAAAATGTTAAAATCTATATTTTGTGTGTTTACCGTTATCTGTTTTCTTTTGGCTTCAAACATTAACATTTGGAGGGTGTGACCTTAATTTATTTCCTTGTGTTTAAAGCCTGACTCTGGTCTAAGCTGTTGTGACATTTAACACTATAACTTTAACCTAAGGAACCTTTACCACTGCACAACAGGTTGGCGATCTACTACCTGAATGCAGTGTCAAAGGGATACCAAAATGCAAACCTTGACCTTAAAAAGAAGATGAAAATTGTCAGTATGAGCGTTTTCAACATATTGTTTCCATCTTTTTTGTTATATTTCCTGTGTTCAAGATTCAATAAAAAAAATGTCTGTCTCAATAATCGGTGGACACTTTAGGCCCGAGACGAGGAGAAGAACCGCAGGAACAACAAGGACAGCACTAATGAAGTGATGAAAGACCTGGAGGACCTGCTGCCTAACAAGTCTCTAATACCGCCTCCCGTTGAGGAAGAGCCCCATCCTGGTACACACAATTATCTTTCTTTATACACGTGCCATCAGCCAATTTGCACACGACTTTTCTCACAGCTCTTTTTACTCTCTCAGATGTCATAGTTGATAAAGGCGCCAAGTCTCCCAAAATAAAGCCGGGTGCAGCAGCAAGAGGAGTTAACCTGCAGAAGGACGTGTCCCTGGCTGCCCCTAACGCCAGGGCTCCAGTCACCCGCGCCCCGGAGCCAAGAAGAGGGCCTCCTGGAAATGCTAGGAGCCCCCAACCTGGACCTGGGAGAGGAAGAGGTCGGGGGGGACATCCCAGTCGATAAGAGTCATGTTCAAGGACTAAAATCCAGACGTCACCTAAAATTCCCCACAGATAACATGTCTGCTAACATGAGCACTGCAGTCAGTCATACTGTACATGGAGGTTGTTTATGGAAAAATCTGATTGTTTTATTGATCAACAGAATACATTTATAAATATTCATTAACTTATTTAAGAGTAGCTTTTTTGCCTTGAAGACAGGCGCTATGACTAGTGTTTTCAAACGTGCTGTGTAATTAATATCTTAAAATGTCTATAATTATTTAAATGACACAGCCTACACAGTTAAATCACATGTCGGACACAGACATGATCTGTAATTCTAGTTGTACTACAACACATTGTAAAGGAAAAACATGATTGTGTTTACTGCATTGCAAGGTTTACTGGTTCCTCGTAAATCCATGTAAATAGTATGTGAAATGTATTTCTATTTTTTGTATGACACCTATTAAAAGTTATTATTTTCTGGCAAAGTGCTATTTAATTAATTATTTCACTGAATATAAACGGGTTAAAATACACAAAACTGACTACTACAGAGAACATGCTGTTCACTAGCCACAGTTAAATACATGTAGATACACACTAGAGGAAAATGCAGAAACAAATCGCCACAGAAAAGAGACACACTTGAAAAAATAGGTGTATCAGAGGAGAAATTACAGTAGTAAATGTTCATGGAGAGACAGAATTGATGACGCTTTCAAAACATCCGAGTGCAATATGATTATTGCACAATGTGTGTGGTGGATGTGAAGCCATGGGGCAGCAGAGAATTCAAATGACATGAGAAATTCAGTCCTTGGAAATGACGCTTTTATGAGTTCTTCTGGGAGATTTTGATGGTGACTGCCTTGACCTCTGTGTACTCCTGAAGAGCATATTCCCCCCTGAAAGAAAACAAAAGACACCACTGATTATGTAAGCAAAATTAAATGAGCAACATTTCCAAGTCATAGTTTGGGCTGAAAATGTTTTCCTCAACTCTATTTCTTTAGCTAATAGGATAAACGTTTTTTTTTTACAGATAATTCTAATGCAATAATTTATCATCAAATCAAGATGATGTGTGAAAGGACTTTTAGTAGACAGAGGTTTATTGGTGATATTAGTGCAATATACTGACCTTATTGTGTGTCCAACATTGGTGAACACACTTATTCAGTCTTATAAGTCAGCTAAATACATGGAATGCAATGAAATATCCACATCTCTGAAGCCAAACTTACACCTTTGAGTACAAGTCATGCAAAAGCTGAGATATAATGGTATTACTCACAGTTCTCTCCCATTCCCGGACATCTTGAAGCCACCAAAGGGACACTGAACACTCATGGCATTGTAGCAATTTACCCTAAAAGAAAGAGTTTCAATTCATTACATAAAATGTGCCATCATTTTACACAAGCCATTAAAATGTTGCAAAGTGGAAATACATTATTAAAGTCTAATATTTATTTAGTTAGGCTTCTTTGAGGGTTTGCACAGCAGATACCCCAGCTCTACTGTTCACCAACTCATGACTGTTAGGTGAATTTAAGAAGATGTTGTCCATACCACACCATGCCAGCCTGCAGAGCAGAAGAGACAGTTAGGGCTTTGTCGATGTCGTTAGTGAACACTCCTGCTGCCAGGCCGTACTGCGTGGCGTTGGCTCTCTGGATAACCTCACGGGTCGTTCGGAAACACATGATCAGCTGCACTGGACCAAAAATCTTAGACGTGGAGGAGGGAAACGTTTTGACAAGAATTAAAAATGTTCTTGCGGAGTACAAAATAAGAACACAGTAGCAGATTGAGGACAGAGATGATCCATTGAGTGTGGTTGTGTGTTTTAGAGCACATTACCTCTTCTTTGGCGATGCGCATGTCGTCTGTGACATTTGAGAAGACAGTGGGTTGGATGAAAAGTCCCTGCTGACCCCATGCAGACCCTCCACACTCCAGCGTGGCTCCCTCCCTCTTCCCGCTTTCTATCAGCTCCATTATCTTATCAAACTGCTTCTGGTCAATCTGCAGAAAACAAAAGCTCTATTCAAATGTTCTCTTTGCACGTTAAACGTGCGGTTAAGGGGAAGTGTAGACATTTCAAGAGATACTGTAGCCTAACTTCATGCCGTACCTGTGGTCCGTGGTCAACCCCTGGCAGCAGTGGGTTTCCCAGGACTTTCCCTCTGGCCTTCTCCACACTGCGATGGACAAACTCCTCGTAGATGGGTTCTTCTACAAACACCCTGGATCCAGCCAGACAGCACTGGCCCTGGTTAAAGAACAGGCCACTGTGGGCCTGCTCCACTGCATGCTCTACTGTGAGATAGACATGTGCACATATAAAGGGCTGCAGCTTTTAGATGAAAGTAAAAAGAGTCAAGTCCATTGTGAAGCATCTTGTCCGCATGAACAATGCACTGAAAAATCCAAAACCTGTTATGATCCACAGTTTACTTGATCAGGCCCCTTTAAAAACATGCTTTGTGGGGAACTGCTCAACCAAACAACAATACACTTGACACTGCACCTACTTAGCAAGCTGTACACAGCATGCTGTTTAGCGCTGTGACAGAAACATATTACCAAAGTCCATCAGCAGGCTGACACTATTACTGGACACGCCCTCAAAGCATTTGCAGTTTGGTTAGTTTAGGCACCAAAATAATTGGTAATGTTTAGGAAATCATGGGTATAAATAAGTATGTTGATCCTGTAAATGATCTCAGAGTAAATATATCCTGCAGAGTTCAGTATCAACACTGCATTTCCTTCAGTCTCAGAAATACTGTACACTAGCCAAGTATGAATCCTTCTGAATGTTTTTGAGAAACTCATGGTCCATTTATTTATTTGAAGTAATCCAGTAATAGTTTCTACTCACAGTCACAGTCAGAAAAGACAATGTTTGGGTTTTTGCCACCCAGTTCTAGGGTGACTCTTTTGAGGTTGCTGTCACCTGCCGCCCTCTGGATCAGTTTCCCAACCTGGCAACCGAGGGCGACAGAGTGAGAATCACAGTGTAATCAAAACACTACAACATAAATTAGTATACATTTGCAGAGATAGATACTTACAGCAGTAGATCCGGTGAAGGCTATTTTGTCGATGTCCATGTGGTGGGAAATGGCGCAGCCTGCTGTCTGTCCATAACCTGGCACCACATTCACCACTCCTGGAGGAAAACCAGCCTGAACATCGAGAGGAGGAGGGAGAGCCACAATTTTATATTGAATTGAGACATACATCTTTAGCAGTCTTTCTGCTTTTACAGCTGCGTAGGTCTCTGCAATCTATAAATGCAAGTTTATAGCTTTTGTCCACATGTTCTTTGTTCTGGTATCATTGTAGGGGGGAAACAGTGATAATCCAGGTACCTCTTTGATGAGTGCAGCCATGTGCAGGGCTGATAATGGGGTCTGTTCTGCAGGTTTGATGACTACAGTGTTCCCACAGCACAGAGCAGGAGCAATCTTCCAAGCAAACATCATCACAGGGAAATTCCACTGTTGGCAGAAAAACATAAACATTTTAAAGTTGCAACAATTTGAAACATCCATATTTTTTTGTCAGTATAATATATAATCATTAACTCTGTATTTCTACTCACAGGAATGATCTGGCCACAGACTCCAATGGGCTCATGTCGTGTGTACGTAAAATATTCTCCATCTACAAAACAATAACGATAGCTTTGAGCACCCTGGGAATTTGTTATGTTACAACATGCAATTGACAAACATGGCAGTATGGAGACTCACCAACAGGGATGGTTTTTCCGTGAATCTTGTCTGCCCAGCCACCATAATATCTCAAAGTTTTGATTGTGGCCATCAGATCTACAAAATATGCCATGAGAAACACTTTGCCAGAATCCAGAGCCTCTAGTGTCTACAAGTAAAAACACAAAGAAATGTAAATACAAGTGCCAGTTCTCTACTGTAATAACCAGATGATATATCACTCCAAAAAGGAGTAAAGGGAATACATTCATATTGAGACAGTGTGTTCTCACTGCTAGTAGAAGCCGGTCTCTCTCCACTAGGTCAGCGAGTTTGTTGAGTAGTTGACCTCGGTCTGAGGCGTCCATCGATCGCCATGGTGACCCCATCTGAAAGGCGGCTCTGGCACTCCTCACTGCCTCATCCACATCTTCCTACAAGAGATTAAAGGTAAAGAGGTGGTCAGAAAAATCTGGTTGATTCCATTCATATGTCCCAAAACCAAACAATCACACATTCTCCTCAAGGGGTTTTACAACCAGAGCAGTATATGACTCCCTCTGTACTTAAAACCTTGATCAAGATAAGGAAAAACTTCAACACGAATCCGTTAACAGGGAAAATGGATGTATAATACTCACTGTGTCAGCCTCCTCCACTTCACAGAGCAGCGTCCCTGTGGCGGGATTATAAACAGGAATCTTTCTCCCACTGCAGGACTCATGCCACTCGTTATTTATGAACAACTATGATATCAGAGAAAAGTTAGAAAATATGAATATGCTTAGATTCTTCAAGTTAATTTTGGTATAAAGAAGTGAAGGTATTTCCCTCTCAGTCTCAGCTCTTTTCAGCCTGAGAGAATGAATAAAAGGCTCTGTGTTTAGTGGGAGTGGTACTGCATGCTCTGATAACTTCGAAGAGATCTGCATGTTTCAAAGCTTGTAGTGTATTTCCAGGTTATTACCTTCAACAGCACCTCCTTACAGAAGACCAATACATATTATATTGTTAATTTTTTTTCATCTTGTTAAAACCACATATCTATTATTCTGTAAGATGATACACAATATTATTCATTAACTTTTTGAAGTAAACCACAAATACTACATTTTACAAAATTACTGGTACACAATGACATGGGCAAACACAGACCAGATGATAAATCTCACAATATATATGCCAGTAGGACTGCCCCCCAAGATACACAATATACGTTAAAATTAAGATACAAAAAACTGAGATCTGTCTAGGAACATCTGAACCGAACTGTAGCTCAGATGTTTGACTCTTGGGTGCAGCCTACATTACATTACATTACATTGCATTTAG